TAACCCCTTGAGTCACCTAAAGACAGCAAAGTTGGGATCCATCGAACAGCGATGGGCAGCAGAATTGGCACTCTTTGACCTAGAGATAAAATATCGCCCGGGGCGGTCCAATGGCAATGCGGACGCCTTATCAAGGAATCCTTACGAGAGACCGGGCGATGAGGAAGAAACGCTGACAGGAATATGTGAGGTCAGAGCGTCAACAGATATCCCTCACGGGGTGCAAGTGAGGCAGAACGGACAGACCGGGGTGGAGCACATATCCACAGAGCCCGGACATATGGACATTAGTGATTTTAATTGCCTTAATCACAAAGAGATAAGAAATGCCCAGAGAACGGATAGTGGCTTACAGCCGCTGTTGAAACACGTCCAGGAACACAAATTCCCAGGAAGAAGGGAAAGAGAACAATTTGGTCGAGAAACAAAGAAAATACTGAGTCAGTGGGACCGTCTCAGTATAAAGGATGGTGTTCTCATGCGGAGAATTCATGACCAAATTGATGGGACAATACACCAGGTGGTGGTGCCTGGACAATTACGAGAAGAAGTGCTAAGGTTGGCACATGACAGGGCAGGACACCAGGGTCAGGACAGGACGCACAAAATATTACGACGGAGGTGTTACTGGCCCAATATGGAAATGGAGGTCAAACGCCATTGTGAGGCTTGTGTGAGGTGTCAGCATGCGAAAATGCCAGTTGTCAAAATGAGACAGCCATCGGGACACCTATTAGCGACAAAACCACTAGAGATTGTGGCTATGGACTTTACGTCGTTGGAGCAATCATCGGATGGGACGGAACATGTGTTGGTAATGACTGATGTTTTCACCAAATGGACTGTGGCGGTGCCCACACGAGATCAGACTGCCAAAACAGTGGCAAAGGTCTTAATAGAACATTGGTTCATCAAATATGGCATACCAAGACAATTACACTCTGACCAAGGAAGGGCCTTCGAGTCAGAAGTAATTAACCAACTGTGCAGCCACTACGGGATCAACAAATCTAGAACAACCACATTTAATCCGAAAGGAAACGGACAGTGCGAGCGGTTCAACCGCAGCATGCATGATTTGCTGCGTACTCTAGAACCTGAACAGAAAAAACGTTGGCCTGATTTTCTCCCAGAGTGGGTATATCTATACAACTGCACACCCCATGCCACAACCGGCTTTTCGCCATACATGTTGCTGTTCGGACGGGAGGCTCGACTCCCCCTTGACTTGTTCCTAGGAAAAAAGGAGAGTATGACTGGCTCATACACTGCACTGGAATATGTGAATGAACATATGAGACGAATTAGAGAAATGTACAGGGTAGTACAGGAAAGACTAGAACATGAAGCACGGCGAAGGGAACCGCCGGTACAGACAAAGGACCCGCCACTCAAACTGAACGACAGGGTATTACTGCGTAGCCACCCGTTAGGCAGAAACAAAATCCACGACCTCTGGGGACAGGAGATATGGCAAGTCGTGGAGATGCCTAAAGTAGCAGGTGGCCCCTTTAAGATAAGACCCATCGATCACACCAAACCGGATCGGTGGGCGAATATTGCTCAATTAAAGAAATATTGTCATAGTCAAGGAGAGCAGTTACACACAAGGAAACCCAAGACAATTAGGGAACCGGAAACTATAACGGAAATTCTCATACCCATCCCGGAACCATGTCACCATCAACAGAACAACAGCGACACACAAGGGGAGGATACCGGCAACAAGGAGGATCCCGGTCCCTCCAAAAGCAGAGAGACAGTAGACCATCAGATAAGTGGTCCGCGGAGAAGTTTGAGAAACAGAAAGAATACGAAATTTTTTGTCAGCAACCATCAATTCGTTCATGGTCGCGCTGGTATGAAAACAGACTGTTCAAAAAGTCATAAAAGTGAACTGGTGAAGGCACCAGACGAAAAAAGGTGGATGTGAATTCTAGAACTGTTTTGTGTCTGAGGAAGATGATGTAGACACATTGGATATGTGAAATAGGGATAACTGTCAATCTTATACGAATGTGACGACATTGACAGTGAGTGGAACAATGGATTTTTTTTTACGGTGGTGCGATGGACTTTGAAGGACTGCACCTGCCAAGCGTTGTTTGTGGTTGATAACACACAAAAAAAGGCAGGGGTGGATGTAACTAGGGGAAGTTACCAAGAGACATAACGTGTTACAGTCTGACGTCACAGTGCAGGTGTTGGCTGATGCCAAGGCGTAGTATCTCGGGAAGCGATACGAAGGACGGTCTGTCAACTTTGATGTGACAGGATGCAGGTGGCTTATTAAAATCGGACTGTACGACAGAAGCGGCGTAATTAAAAGTCTGATGTAACGATTAGAATCGATTACAATTACGATTATGATAGGACCGAATATGAGTACGATTATGAAGGGGAGATAAGGAAGGCGACGGCTGAGCTCGAGGTCTCTCAGGAAGTCTCTCAGGAAGTCTCTCAGAAGGTCTCTCTCAGTCAGTCAGTCCGTCAGTCAGTCTGTGTGGCAGTATCAAGTTGGTTATATTGTGTTAAGAAGGACGTTAGACATGTGTATTCCGTTAGATGAAGCCTAGTGAGGACTGTTGGGGGTCCGTTGATTCAGACTATTATTGTGAAACATCTCTCTTGATTCATTATATTATTGTGAAGCATTCTTTGATTCATGTAATAAAAGGATCAATAATGAACCTGCATCTTCGAGTATCTATGCTGTGGTCAATGTTGTGTGGAATGAGTGGTTAGACTCGGGAAGGTCACATTTGGCGTTGTCGGCAGGATAGCCAGAGACTCGTTACATTTGGCGTTGTCGGCAGGATAGACTCGGGGACTCGTTACATTTGGCGTTGTCGGCAGGATAAGTCTCGTTACATATATATATATATATATATATATATATATATATATATATATATATATATATATATATATATATATATATATATATATATATACTAGCCGTCCCAGCCAGGCTCTGGTCTCTGGAAAAAACCTTTCTGTTAAGGACCATTACCTGTATAAATACCATTCAGGGGAGGCAACCTTCAATTTAATTAATAAAAATTACAGAAGTATGCATAAAATGCAAACAAAATAAAACAATAAATTATTTCTACTCGTGTATTGCGTTTCTAGTAAAATAAAATAACATACAATGTAGAAAATATAGGTTTTTATAATTTTTGTATTTTCGAAAGAGTTTTTTTTACAAAATGTTATGATTTTAAACTTGAGCGAAATTGGTTGTGTTTTTTTTTTATAAAAAAAAATATTTCTGTTTACTGTAGTGGTGTTAAAATCTTCTTCGTGTGTATTTTTTCAATCAAAAAAAAAAAAAAAAAAAAAAAAAATTACTTCAGACTAACTCTAACCATTTCGAAAGTTAAAACGGCCAAATTTACCAATGCACAGCTCACTGAACAGATAATAGACCTAGAATCTAAATTTGTAAATCTAATTTACAACAGGCGGTTCGACAAATATAGCACATTAACGAGCACGCTATAAATAGTAACACCTCCGCAGGTAGATTCCATGGCACAGCCCTTGACGCCCGGGTCGCCCAAACCCAACCCACACATCCACCTCTCTCACGCCTGACCTGCCACGGCGACCCCCACCTCCCCCGCCCCAATTACCACACTCCCCCCGCACTTTCTCACTGCTCATTACACCAACCTCCCCATGACCTCAACCCTCACATCACATCGATTATTCCATTATTTATTGTTTTTTTTTTCATGTGTTTATTCGCTTCCTGTCATTTTGTCCCGTTATGAAGTGTTTCAATTTTGTATCACACTTCGAAGATTTAGTTATTTCCACTATGTATGTTTTGGTACATTAACCCCCCCCCCCCCCCGTCAATCAACCCCCGGACAAAAAAATGACCAAAACCTAAGCATCCACCTCAGCCTAGAACTTAACACAAAACCAAAACAAACTCTAGCCCTAACCCTAACCCTAACCTCAACCTCAACCTCAACCTCAACCTCAACCTCAACCTCAACCTCAACCTCAACCTCAACCTCAACCTCAACCTCAACCTCAACCTCAACTTCAACCTTAACCTTAACCTTAACCTTAACCCCTACCCTAACCCTAACCCTAACCCTAACCCTAACCCTAACCCTAACCCTAACCCTAGCCCTAACCCTAACCCTAACCCTAACCCTAACCTAGCCCCAACCCTAACACTAGCCCTAGCTGTACCTTAAGCTGTGTCCGTGGGCGGGGGGGGGGTACTATTCTACTGGGCGGGGGGTAATTGGCAGTGGGTAATTGACAGGGGGGTAATTACTCCGGGGGGTAATGTCGGGGAAAAATATCCGTGAGGGGGTAATTGACGGCGGGGGGAATGCCCTGTTCCCGTATGTTTATATAAGGTTTTACTGACATTATTCTGTTGCGATTTCGTACATCGGCCTTTATCCTAATTTGCATAATATAAGACTAATGGAGAATAATTTTGGCATACAACTTCAGGACATCTACAGTATCATTTTCCAAACATGAAATATATTTTTGATACAAATCCTGAGGTTGAGTCGGAAGGAATTAAGAAGGAATTTTAATTATTAATTAAACATCTAATTAAGTAAAATTTTATGTCCCCGGTTGCATTGTCATCGGGTCTTGATAAGTTTGAGGGAAATTGGTTGGTTAGATGTAGTCGAAATTTTGCTCGCCAGTTTCGATCAATGACGACAGACAAAAGCACGACAGACAGAAGAAGTTGGTTAAATACAAGTTTTTAAAAACATAATTGTTTTGACTTCTAAATTGGTGTGTTTAGTTACTTAATTAAATACCCAAAACAATAATTATGTGTAGTGCAAACAAAAGTCATACAAAAACAAACAATCAGGTTTTATAATCACATGTGTTTTACTGGCTCAGCACACAATTTTTAAAATATTTCGTTGACCTTTCGATAGTCTAAGTCTAACACGATTGAAGTCATTAAGATAAAAATAATAAACTAAATTCTGATTGGCTCTTCAATGTCGCAACCCAGAAAGGTCACGGTGACCTTGTAAGATAAACGTTTGCACCAAGGTCGGGACCTTGAGCTGCTTGATGCTGTCAGCCAACGGCCGGTGTCCAACAGATTTGAGAACCGTTAGACGGCACCACTGCTTCAAGGACAACGAGGGAGCCAGATCTTGGATGAGTCCTTGATAAATCCGTTTTAATTTACCTGACAGCTGTCGTCTGCTTGACTGATACGGTTTGCTTAGTTTGGTCCCGGTGTGTAGTGTGTCCGAACACGCACCGTCACGTTCAGGTTGGTCACGGTCCATTACCTCCAGCTGAAGGATGAGTCCAAAGCTAACAAGTTCCCGAGCTAGGATGAGTCGGGACGTGTTGTGAAAATCATCCGCTTTCGTCACCGGTTCTAAAAGTTTAGACAAAGGGGTCTGTCTGCAGTGGTTGACCGCGTTAAACTCGGCATCCCGAATTAACAACGTGAGCACCGCCGCCCTGTTGCAGTAAGCACACGCCACGTGCAGGGGCGTGCTGCCCTGGATCGCGTCCCTCGCGTTGACGTCACAGCCCAGGTCTAACAGCCGTGCGATGACGTCACTGCCGCTGGTAGAAGCGGCGAGATGCAGGGTTGTCTTGCCGTGGGGCGCGGGCCGTGTCACGTCTGCTCCCAGAGAAATGAGGGCGTCCATCGCGTCCACCTTCCCGCCGTGGATGGCCCTGTGGAGATGGAGCTTTCCTGCGTGGCTTGAGTTAGGGCTCCCGGCCCCAGATCTCATCTGTAAAAAGTAAATGAGTTATGATCAGTTTCTTTCAGTCCCCCCCTCCCACCTAACGAAATATAATTTATATAGAAAATATACACTTTTATAAGTGTCCGCTGGAAATATTTCTTTGTACTAATTAGCATTAGATTAGTTGAAAATTCATTAATTATTTTATATTGGAAGACTTCTGGGACTTATCAATTAGCTGATCTGCCTCTGAGTAGGCCCTATGTCTACATCAAAGTATTATGAAAGAGTAAGATTCTATAGGTAGTGGCGTAGTTAGGGGAGGGATGGTGGGGCGTCCGTCCCGGTGCCGAAAATAGGTTGCGCCAAATAGGGTAAAATAAAAAGCTTTTTTGCGCTGTATTACTGTGGAAATAGAGAAAATAGAAAGCTGCCTGACTCTGGGACTGTCTTCTACATTACTTATTTGATACGGAAAACAACTATTTACAGTAATTGGTAGGATAAGTATTTTTTCGTCAACGTGAATAAATAAATATAGGGGGCGCAAAATTTATGGTTCAACCGGGCGCCAAAATGGATTTCTACGCCTCTGTCTATAGGGCAGTAATTCGTCTTTGCCTTTAGTAAAGCTGCATGGAATATTGTTTGCATTCCGCCTTTAGTTAAACAGTGTGGTGTGGTATTTATTTCGTTTATTATTTTTTTAAATGTTGCGAAAATAAATGCAACATACAAGGCAATAAGAATAGTATAAAAAAAGAAACGTCGTGTTTTGAAAATGGTGACAGAACTTTAAGCTACTCACCAGCAGTGTTAGTACCTCTATCCTGTTGTGATCGATGCACAAAACTGCAAGATAATTATAGAAAATCTCGTCATCTTCGCTGGACTTTAAAACGTCCAGCAACTTTCTCACGATGTCCACACGGTTATTCTTTACGGCTTCTGTCATGGCAGACTTGGCTGCCCTCAGACAGCTGATGTTGATTCCAGGCAGCATTCAGACAGCTGATGTATTCATTGGGGCCTTGAGACAGCTATGTTGATTCGTTTAGAGCTTTCAGACAGCGAACGTTGATTCGTTGAAACCTTCAGACAGCTTATGTTGATTCCAGGCAGCATTCAGACAGCTGATGTATTCATTGGGGCATTTAGACAGATATGTTGATTCGTTTGGAGCTTTCAGACAGCTAATGTTGATTCCTCGAAGCCTTCAACAACTGATTTTCATTCGTTAAAGCCTTCAGACAGCCGATGTTGATTTATTGAATCCCTTAGACAGCTGATGTTGTTAACTGAAACGAAACGCATCAAGGTCCAATACAAATAATGAAGTATTAAATCCTGACGTTTAGAATTTACACGCTCTTTGTAGTCTGAACGTAATTTAAAATCAACAGTTTGTTATATTTCAACACATTATGGAATCTACTGTATCCTAACATTTACCTAACCTTGTCTTGTATGTAATGACTATCCTTCCTAAACGTCACATTAAAAAATCCTAAAATATTCTTACGCAAGGTTTCAAACACTTTCACACAACTTAACCAGCCGTCTCTTCCCTGCCCCAACCAGTAGTGGCGCGGTGCTTGTAATCAGACGTGAAATCTGATTTCTTTCAAACGTTGAGAGCAGCCGATCACAGGTTTCCGGGTTGTGACCTTGTACTTGACGCGGCACCCAGGTAAGAACTCAGGTAAGCGTGGAGGATTTAACGATTCACCATTCCATGTCCCTTGCCAGGAAGTGTTTGTATAGATATGTAGACTAGCAGGACACGATATATACTGTGTTTAGTGCTTTATGGCCTTTCCTAAACATAGATCAATAAAATGTTTATACAAGGTGCTAAGTAAAGGGCCTTATAAATCATCTATTTCTTGCCTATATGCCAGTCTCTGGGTTTTATCAATGGTGTACGTCTGACTTAATGAAATAATAAACATTCAATGACGTTATATAATGTATATATATATATATATATATATATATATATATATATATATATATATATATATATATATATATATATATATATATATATATATATATATATATATAATATCAGATCGCCTTTTCATGCGTATAGTCTATAAACCAACGTTTAAACAGCTGCATTATTGCGCATACTCGAGTCTTTTATGGCATGTCGATAAACTGTAGACCAGGTGTACAAATAAAAAACTGATTTGTCATTGATATTTAAACTTTATTGATCGGTACTTGAAAATGTTAAGAGCGAATACGCAATAAAAAACATGTTTAACTTTAATAATCAATACCTAAGAAAGGAAGTAAAAAAGGTAAGGTAATTAAGTTAGACCTCATACGTTTTGTTTTGACTATGGTTACTTTTACCCAGGTAGCCAAATTGATAATAGATTTTAAACTTCACTTCGGTTTTCTTTTATAAATTAGTTAAATAATAATAGTCAAAATTCATAAATGTAATATTAATTCAAAACGAAAGTAAGACCTTAAAGTTCAATAAACACACGAGCTTAAAATAGCTCAGTGGAAACATTGATCTCTCTTTGTGAATCCACCTTATTAGTTATCGATTAAAGCGCTTTAAATTAATATTTCAATTCGTAGATCGATTTCTCCACCTGTCACCGATACAGCGTAACACACTTTTTGTTTTTTAATCTGAACCAACTTTTCACGCCTTTAGATCAAATCACGTATAGAGAGATACCGTGTTGATACTGAGAGATTTACCTGGGCTGACCTGGCATGATACTGAGAGATTTACCTGGGCTGACCTAGCATAATCCTGAGAGATTTACCTTGGAGTACCTGGCACAGATCAATACCTTAAAACGTGCCCGACTAGTCCCGATAACAAAAAGTCAAAAATACGAGATTACACGACAGATTACGTGAGATTAGCACCGACTTCAATTGAAATCACTGCAGCTGATAGATTGAAATATTGCAGTTCAATTTCTTTTTATCATTTTTAAAAGTTAATGCTGGCTGGCCTAATGTAAGACCTTGAAGCAGAAAGGAAAAAAAGATGGTATTCATCTGTAGGCAGATTGAGAAAATGGTACAGGATAGAGGACTCGGGAGATCTTTGGTTGGCGACCCATTCCCCAACAGGGGTGACAAACAGTGGTGAATATGAGTAGGCCTACATATAAAAGAACTGATTATCAATTTTAGTCGACTTCCTGAATATTACAAAACTCATTTTGTTAAAACTTTTAACAGCTAATAGTATTAAAGATATGTGCTAAATGCAAGGGGAAAAGTTGAACGGTTGTTAATTTGTGTGTGTAATAAAGTATATTGAAATCTAACTATTTAAGAAATGATGATGTATCAATTAAAGTTTGACGAATCCGGACAAATGATTCTTAACTTAAGATATTGTCCCTATTTAGTAATTTGCGCAGTTTAAATATGTTCTACCACCAGCCTTGTTACGAATGACAAATCACTGATGGGTTTTACGATTTTCTATATATGAAAATCCGAATGCAAAGCCTGACCGGAACGGCAAGTTATAAAATTTTGTATTACTTGTTACCTCTTAATGGCTAAAACACCTATCTTACTTACGTTTCCTATTTAATCCAGCAATTAGTGCATGAAGTGTTAACAAAATAAGTAACATAAATAATAATCCTAATACGTGTTTGTTTTCGTTTTACTGAACATTGTTTAAAAAATTCAAAATGATATAGGCCTAGAAAATGTTATTGTAATAGATGTTGAGTGCTTTTCATTATGATAGTAATGGCAGGAATTTATTTATTTTTGTTGTCATTGAACATACCACAGATTATTTATCCTAAATGATTTTTAGATCATACAAGAAATGCTCGCCATGTTGCTAGATTTAAAATTTATACCTATAATATTTTATTACATTTATCCTGTTGACTGAATGCTTTTATAAAAAAAAATACAACAAATCAAAACAGTAAGAATAGATTTATTCAAACCTTTTAGTCAGCAATACCAAAATTTTATTCACACGTGAATTTTAAGCATTAGTGTCACTTTATTGATAATTTTAATTTCAAATTTAATGTACAGAAAGTGTTTTTATATTACCATCCACCTATATCTGGTAAAAGTTCAGTGAAAAATTGAAATGACAGAAGATTGAATTTTTTTAACTCTACATAATGTTGAAATGGAATGATTTCTCCATCACCAGATTTTGAAGGGCAGATAACGTAAAACACGAATCCGAATGGTTTTCTCTGGCATTGTCAGCCCCTGAGTTAAGCAACAAGTTCCTGATTTCTGAATTAGTGGAAAGAGAAAATGCCGTGTGGCCATCTCTATCATTCAGATTCACGTCTGCACCATTGGTCAGCAGAAGTTGGACAGCTGACACGTTCCCGCGTTTTGCAGCGATCATGAGAGCCGTAGTACCAGGCTTGTGGATTGGCTTGACGTAGTTGACGTCTGCACCGTGTTGAAGTAAAATGTCCATACACTCGAGACAGTTTGCCTCGGTGGCCAAAATTAGGGCCGTCTTACCATCAAAATCGCTGATTTTATTGACATCACAGCCCGACTTGACTAAAGTGAGAACTGAAGATGATTTTTTCAGCTGGGCAGCAAGCATCAATGGAGTGTATCCCCAACGGTCGGCTCCATTGATATGGGCGCCATATTTGATCAAAAGTTTGATGACGTACGTGTATCCACCAACAGCAGCGTGGATTAACGGTCTCAGGCCGTATCTGTCGTCCTTGGCATTCACATCCGCGCCTTTTTTCACCAGATGCGTCACGATGGCATCCCTGTTGGACGAAGCGGCGAGAGAAAGCGGGGCGTAACCGTCCGAACATTTTTGGTTGACGTCCACGCCGCTGTTGATGATGAGTTTAATCACCTGAGTATCGGTCAGCTGGTCGGAGTTCCATTTATCCATGCCGATGACCGGATGTGTGACGAGTCCGGCTTTGAGAGCGACGTGCAGCGGGCTGTCCTCTTTGTGTTTTAGAGCGTGTTTGGTCGTAGCCCCGCATCGAAGGAGCAACTCCACAACATGCACGTTGTTGGACACAATAGCGGCTTTCAAGGGAGTTAACCCATCATCATACACAGCATTCACATCGGCGCCTTGTTGGATAAATAAAGAAACAATCTGCTCGTGTCCTTTCAGGGCTGCGCGAATCAACGACACGTTGACGAGTTTTCTGCCGCTGTAGGTCACCGTGTTGATCTTCTGGACTAAAATTGCCGAGACAACTGTAGAGTCACCGCTGTCTATGGCCGAGATCAAATTTTTCTTGACTGTCTTCATCTCCTCTCTCCAGTTTATTTGAGGACTTTCACTGCTGATGAAAATTTAATTAATTAATGGAATTTTTTATATAGTTTTGTCTAGTTATACATATATTTATTTCTCGTTTAAATATTAATATAATCAAATATTAATATAATCTAAGGTAAATTAAGTTTTTATTTTAAGTAATTTTTATGATTACCGATTTTTTAAACTTCACGATTGTATATGTTTGCTATAAGTGATAATTAATTAAGTAGTTTAAAAATAGTACTTGCGAATTTTGTGAACTTTGTTTTGAAAATTTTAATTAAAGATTATGTTACAGAGAAATGACTACTGTTTTTATATGTTATGTACATATTTGTCTAACGCTTCTAAAATTAAACACAATTTCTTACGATATTTTTTTTAAAGAAAAACACCATATACTTTGAACTAAGATATTTAAAACTTATGATAAATAACTTATAAACAATATTTTCATTTTATAAGTCTAAAAACAAGAATGGGTGGGAAAACTAATTCAAAACAATATCAGCCTAGCGCCCGTTGTATTTTTTTCTCAGCGGGCAAAAATTGCTAGTTAAATAATATTGGCTGTGTTTTATGTACATTATTAAAATAATTTGATATCTTTCAAATATATTTAAATTAAAAAAAGGAAATTAAATGTCCGTGCTAATTTTAATATTAAAAAAAATGCTAAATGGACATAGTTACGTCCAAACAGATAAAGCACAAGAACTTTCGAGAACATATCATGCACTCTATCGCGTGACCGCGGCATCACATGACTTCAACTACTCACCTTCCAGGTGAACCATGCTCAATTTTATATCCTGAAGACCTGGGTGGTGTAGATACAGCTGTCGTGTTGTCCATCTCTCACCAACACTAGAACCCTGAGACGTAAGAGAGAAGTGTCAGGTTACTGGAGCTAAAGATTCGTGGTTTTTTTTAAATTATATAATGATAGGGAAATAATTTTGAGATATTTTAACTAAAACTGTAGTGTTCACTGATAAAAACTGCATCTAATAAATATTGTGAAAACCTGAACGTATTTTGTTGAGAGTATTGAGTATTGTCATTGATTAGTTCAGAAAATAATGTTTGTATAATATTTAACATCTTTATAAGCAAGTTTTAAAAAGCACAAAATGACTAAAAAACTTTAGCTAATAGATCTAGATCTAGTATGTAAACGTTAAAAGCGTTGATAATTCTAATATTATCTATACATTTTGCAAATTAATTTTATTTTTACAATATTTTGGTGTTCTAATTTTTAGATCGTAGGCATTATATACAAGGTGTATAGGACCCTATCTTAAGAATACAACAAATTTTTTTAATGAGAAAAAAAAAAGAAAAAAATTAAACGCTAAATTACTGAATCAGTGGCTTTGTTAGGTGAACATTTGATTACGCGATGAATAGATTCCCTTTATGTATTGGGAATTTGTTAAGTATTTCCCTTTCTGTCCCATTTTCTAAATAAAACTAATTTAAATATAATTTAACTCGGGTCGCTTTTATAATAAACAAAAGAAAACCCCTTAACGTGTTACTCTTTGTAATCAAATATTATTTTTCAAATTATATTTCGATTATATCATCTAGAGTCTAGAGACCTGGGAATAATCCCGTCATTGAAGAAAGGGGGGGGGGTGGAGGACTGAAGTCAGCACGAGAACAGTTATTTGAATAGTTTTTTTTCGTGGATTTTGATATGGTTTGAATCCACATTTAAAAAAAAGGAGAAAATTTTGTGTTAATTTAAAAAAAAAACAATTCAATTTAGAAATGAAATTAAGTTTCTCTTAAATTTCAAAGAAATTTTGTTTTGACATTTAATTTACCAATGTAGTAACAGTAGCCTGATTTAAATTTTAGTGTTATTAGTTATCTCCCGTTCTCTATAAATAAGACAATTAATTTATAAAGACAATATAAAGAAAGACAACTAAGTTATTGCTTGTTGGAGGCACGAGTTATTCCGCTTTTAACAATCCCTGGCGGTAATGCGGCATTATATATCCCCACATACTGGTGCTCATACCGACCTGGGCTGTATTTAATTTTTTAATAAGCCAGCTGTTGTACTTCATTAAACTTTCTGTATTAATTAAAATGCTTGGTAAGTTCAGGTTGTCTAAACCATGCACAATTTAAGCATGTTATTCTTGGCTTTTTTGTATAGCAAGGTAGATATATTTTTACTGGAAGGTAAAATTCTTTATAAGTTAAATAACGCCGGCGTGTAAAATACACATATTGCACATATATAGATCACGAAAATATCTTGTGCTGACCATAAATAATAATTGCTTTATCCTGAGGTTGATTTAATTCATCTGATCTCTACACAATAATTACTAAATACAACACGCTAATTGATTTTAATTCTGGTTTTAATGTCAAGCAAATCTCTATAATACTAGCGTTCTCTGCTATATTTTGAGGCTATTATGGGACATATCCAATGTGCAGAAATGATCGATGAAGACGGTACGTCATAGAGGGAGTAAGCAATTCCAATAATTATTAGACTAATCAATTAATCTTCATTCTTAAGTAAGGTATAATTGTACTGTAAAACAAAACTTACCTTTAATATTACTACTAATCCAGTTGAAGAAAGATTTCAGATAATCCCCAGTGCACCATCAACAACGTTGTAATTTGGTGTTGTGAGCTGTGTCAAATCTTATATAGTCTGTCGTTCAGTCATGGGTATGTCAAGGTTTAAGGTCCGTCTACAACCATGACGACATGAGTCAAATTGTCTAGGATCTGAATACCCCACCACCTGATGTTACATTGGGTCTAAATGCCTCACCACTGATGATCTATTGAGCGTGTAGGTGCTTACACCTGGTGATCTATGCAAGGTATTTACACGTCGTATCAACAAGCTCGTCTCGGCTTACATCAGGCGGGCGATAACAATAGCTGACCGGGGTGGGGTGGGTCAGGAGGACGGGGCACTGGTCTACTGACCACAGGTAGGTCACTGTAGTGAACCCCCGCGCTAATCATGTGTGACACGGGGTCTCGGAGCCACCCGGCCAGTGAAAGGTCAGCCGGACAATGAATGGTGGCAGAGTGGACAACTGACCCAGGGATGGGGGTGAGGGGGTGGCTGCCCTCGGGGCTACATCAACAAATAGAGATAGCGACACACTGTACAACAATATTTGGTGTGAACAAGCTTAATTGGCTTCTAAATGTCTGATAAGTTCTAGCTATCGTGGCCTAGATTTAGTTATAGGGGGATATTGTATATATATATATATATATATATATATATATATATATATATATATATATATATATATATATATATATATATATATATATATATATATATATATATATATATATACTTTTGGTGTAATCAGCTATATATGAGGAAAGTGGGTAAATCGTATCCTGTGTGGAAAAAAAATATTTAAAAACTTCAAGTCGAAAACAGTTTACTTTTACTTCGAAGCAATCTTTAATATTAAAGAGACCATAATAGCATGGTTTGAATGCAGAGGCGTAGCGACCCTTCCCGGCGCCCGGGGATAAACCTTTCGATTTGCACCCACCCCCTCAAGATTTCGATTTGCACCCCTCCCTCAAACTTTCGATTTCCACCCCCCTCAACCTATCAATTTATTTTTCCAACCCATTTTGGCGCCCCCTAAGGTCGGCGCCCCTGGACATATGTCCCCCCCCCCCCTCGCTACGCTACTGTTTGAATGTGTAATTATTTTTAAAAATGAAGAAGAGGATAGTAATTAAGACAAAAATTAATTACAAAATTGTACTAAAACTCAGCACAGGAGTCCAATTAGTACCAATAGTTAAGAAAAAAAAGCATCAAAGGGTGCAAGGATAATATGTTTAGAACTTGAGTGCTAATTTATTTACGGCATCTGGTCATTGTATAAACTTGTTGAATTAAAATATTTAGATATCGTCATTCTGAGTTCACTGACTTGAAAGGGGTGGCGAGGGCCGGGTGGGTAGGGGCCGTGTGGTGAATTTCTGGGGGACACATCATTTTAGACCAGCCTCGTTTTGAGGTTCAATAGATGGCAAGTGTCAACGCTCCCCCCCCCCCCCCCTTTATTTTACACCTTTGTAATAAAAGTCATTTAATAGGCGGGGCGGAATGGGAGGGGGTGGGGGAGGGGATAAACGTTTTGCTCAGCAGTCTATTATAGTTTCTTAGTTAATAAAGTGGAAAAGTGGGGGGGGGGGGGGGAGAGAGAGAGAGACAGCCAAGCAATCTACTCGTTCAATTTTTTGATCAAGTCAATTAACCTAACAATACATTTTTAATTTCCGTCAGGCGTCTAGTCGAAACTTGCCTTAATCGTAATTTGATCCCCCCACCCCCCCCCCCCTTCCCTTAGTGATTACTGTCTAATGACTATATGACTGATGCGGCTAGTCGAAACTAGCATCAATCGTAATTTGATCATGACTCCAGTAGTGACTACTGTCTAATGACTATATGACTTTAATATGCAGTAGGTTTGTTACACGAACTGAATGGAGAGAAAACATATAATCTGTAAATTAGTAGTTTGCTTGTAGAAGAATGCCATTGAAAACACACTTTATGTATGGACGTATGGTTGAATGTACGTGTTTATCAGTAGACCTTGGCCTGAAATCTAAAGTTGTGTCTGATATTTCTTCGTGTCAAGAATTTGGACGTGTCTGCTGTTTGTTCATTAGGTGATTAGATCCATGTCGGTTTGTTTGCATTGGTGGTTTGTTTTGACACGTCTCTATTCATGTCAATGTAGGGTATTTCTTGCACGTCGCTATTTATGTCAGTTTGGGGTACTTTTGGCACGTCGATATTTAAGTCAGTGTCGGTTTATTTGCATTAGAGGCTTGTTTCGGTACGTCGCTTTTTAAATAAGTATGGGGCAGTTTTGGTAGGCCCTACGCTGCTATTTATGTCATTATGAGATGGTTTTAGTACGTCACTATTTATTTTAAAAAAACAT